TTCGGAAGAACTTCTCTGAACTTCGGCAGAACTGCCCTGAACTTCTGCAGTACTTCCCTGATTTCCAAGAATTGAAATGACAGGACTTCTCTGAACTTCGGCAGGACTTCCCTGAACTTCGGCAGGACTTTCCTGAAGTTCGGCAGACTTTCCCTGAACAATTAAGGGACTTTCCTGAAGTTTGCAAAACTTCCCTGAAGTTCCTGAACTTCGACAGAACTTCTCTGAACTTCGGCAGAACTGCCCTGAACTTCTGCAGTACGTCCCTGATTTCCAAGAATTGAAATGACAGGACTTCTCTGAACTTCTGCAGGACTTCCCTGAACTTCAGCAGGACTTCCCTGAACTTCGGCAGAACTTCTCTGAACTTCTGCAGGACTTCCCTGAACTTCGGCAGGACTTGCCCGAAGTTCGGCAGACTTTCCCTGAACATTTAAGGGACTTTCTTGAAGTTCGCAAAACTTCCCAGAAGTTCCTGAACTTTGACAGAACTTCTCTGAACTTCAGCAGTACTTCCCTGATTTCCATGAGTTGAAATGACAGGACTTCCCTGAACTTCGGCAGAACATCTCTGAACTTCGGCAGAACTTCTCTGAGCTTCTGCAGGACTACCCTGAACTTCAGCAGGCGTTCCCTGAACTACGACAGGACTTCTATGAACTACAGAAGGACTTCCCGGAACTTCGTTAAGCCTTCCCTGCACTTCGGAGGGCCTTCCCTTAACATTGGTAAGACTTCCCTGAAGTTTAGCAAAACTTCCCTGAATTTTTAAAGGAATTTCCTGAACTTCGGCAGCACTTCCCTGAACTTTGGCAGGACTTCCCTGAAATTCGGCAGATCTTTCGTCAGGACTTACCTGCACTTCATCCTCCCTGAAGTTCGACAGGCCTTCCCTGTACTTGGAATCTTGGAATTGAAGTTGTCATTTCAGTAGCTGTATTATTATAACTATACAATAATATTGTATTTTCGAATACCCCTCATAAACGCGAACCATAAATTGACCTTACCTAAAATGGTTAAAAATTGTTTATAATCCCTAAACTTTAACTGAAATGGTTATGGAACTTTACATGAACGTTTAATGATAAAGTTTCAACCTTATGTATTATGGTTTTTTGGAACTGGACCTTACAAATAATGGGTTGTTAAGAACCATTACCGTTCCAAATTCTTGTTTTCTCCATACATTTTCGGAAAGAGAACTATATTAGAACCTTTTAACTTATGGTTTGAGAACTTTAATGGTAATAGTTATGGTAGTCAGTAAGGTCCACGAATGGTTTTGTAACATCGATCAACTTTATGTGGAATATATCGCGAATTGGTTGCCTGTAATTTACTGATTACCAATTCACGATATAAAGGGTGATACGGTCAAAATTTGGTCAATATCAACTTGACGTATTTCTTTCAATTTTGCATTTAAAAAACCTGAACACCCCTCATTTTGAAGGTGTGTGTGTGTAGAATGTTGCTCCTATTTTGATTTTGGAATTCACTCTTCAGTTGTCAAAATGCCGTCCAAGCAAGAAGAGCAGCGTATCAAAATTTTGCTCGCGCATCGCGAAAATCCGAGCTACTCGCACGCAAAGTTGGCAAAATCGCTAAAAGTTGCCAAATCAACCGTTGCAAATGTAATTAAAGTGTTTGAGGAACGTTTGTCGACAGCCAGGAAGTCTGGATCGGGGGGAAATCGAAAACCGGAAGCCGCTGAGACGACAAAGAGAGTTGCCGGTAGTTTCAAGCGAAACCCTAACCTCTCTCTCCGAGATGCCGCAAATAAGCTGGGTGTATCGTCTACAACCGTGCATCGAGCCAAAAAACGAGCCGGACTATCGACTTACAAGAAGGTAGTGACTCCAAATCGCGATGATAAACAAAATACGACGGCCAAAGCGCGATCCCGGAGGCTGTACACGACGATGCTGACGAAGTTTGACTGCGTGGTAATGGACGACGAAACCTACGTCAAAGCCGACTACAAGCAGCTTCCGGGACAGGAGTTTTATACGGCAAAAGGAAGGGGAAAGGTAGCAGATGTTTTCAAGCACATGAAACTGTCAAAGTTCGCAAAGAAATATCTGGTTTGGCAAGCCATCTGTACCTGTGGCTTGAAAAGCAGCATTTTCATAGCTTCCGGGACTGTCAACCAAGAAATTTACGTGAAAGAGTGTTTGAATAAACGTCTGCTGCCTTTCCTGAAGAAACACGGTTGTTCCGTACTGTTTTGGCCGGATTTGGCATCTTGCCACGGTAAAAAGGCCATGGAGTGGTACGCCGCCAACAACGTGCAGGTGGTTCCCAAGGACAAGAACCCTCCCAACACGCCAGAGCTCCGCCCAATTGAGAAATACTGGGCTATTGTCAAGCGGAACCTAAAGAAGGCCAAAAAAACTGCTAAGGGTGAGCAGCACTTCAAGGCAAACTGGCTTTCTGCGGCGAAGAAGGTGGACAAGGTGGCTGTACAAAATCTGATGGCAGGGGTCAAGCGTAAGGCCCGGCAATTCGGATTTGGAAAAGCGGAAGCCTAACTGAATATTTTTCCTGAATTTTATACTAATTGAACTTGAAAAAGAAATTTAATTTGATTTTTTAAATAAACGATTTCACCGATTTACACGCGTTTTCCCTTGACCAAATTTTGACCGTATCACCCTTTATTCCACGTAAAGTTGAGCGATAATACAAAACCATTAATGGACCTTACTGACTACCATAACCATTACCATTAATGTTCTCAAATCATAAGTAAAAACGTCCTTATATAGTTCTCTTTCTGAAAATGTATGGAGAAAACAAGAATTTGGAATGGTAATGGTTCTTAACAACCCATTATTTGTAAGGTCTATTTCCAAAAAACCATAATACATAAGGTTGAAACTTTATCATTAAACGTTCATGTAAAGTTCCATAGCCATTTCAGTTAAAATTTAGCAGGGATTATAAACAATTTTTAACCATTTTAGGTAAGGTCAATTTATGGTTCGCGTTTATGCGGGATTGTCTACATTTCAATACTTCCCATTTTGTTAATTTGCAATGCTTGTTGGAATTGGTGCATTTTGAATTTGAGTGTGGTTCGAACGGGTGTGGAGTCTCCCCCTTATTCTGCGCCGCGAGTGAGGTGAGGTGACCCGCTGTCACTAGTGAGGTGACAAAAGTCACCGCGAGTGAGGTGACTCTCCGTGCAAATCAAATGGAGAGTCACCTCACTCGCGGTGACTTTTGTCACCTCACTAGTGACAGCGAGTAACCTCACCTCACTCGCGGCGCAGAATAAAGGGGAGTATCAACGGAAAAGCATTAACTTTCATCTTAAAAGCATGTGATAAGCTGTCTTACCTACTTTCGTAACTTAGCGTAAGGCTCATTAAAATTTTGGAGGAAATTTCTTTCAATTTAGTTGGTTCTAATAAATTATATAATTCAAACTTAAGTGCATAAATATAGAGCTCTTCAACATTTGGAAAAGTTACAATTTTTGTGCAAAGCACCAAGCAACTCGGTTTCGTTCCAAAAACTTCAGCGAAGTTCAAACTATTTCAGCGATGTTTCATCAAAGTACATATATTTGCATCAAGCCAAAGCAAAACATAAAAATAATGTCCCACTCGACCTTCTCCGATATGCATAAATGTTTATATAATTGTTTGTTATGGTCAATCATTCACATTTGAGTTGATGTTCGGCCATTTTGAATATAGCAAACAAAAACTTCAAAATGGCGTATTCGATATTTTTCAACAAATAATATCTCGAAAACGTCACTTCCAATCGAAATGACGTCTGAGACAAAGTTGTAGGAATGAATAATTGCTTTCCTGAAACAATAGTGTGTATTGATAAAAAATTTCAAACTATTTTGGGTAAAAGAGAGAAAAAGTGGTTAAAACTAGGGGAAGTACAATTTGATCTGAAGTAATATTTGGTGCAAAAATTGCTCAAATTGGTAATTATTATAATTTTTAGTGGAATTAGAATTTTCTTAGTGGAATACCTGTATAATGAGAGAGAGAAGGATTAGTATTTTCCATTTAATTCCACTACTTTATTTGCTTATCCTTGACAGATACGCGTATTTCTTCTACAATGTGCAGACTTCTTCAGTGTCTTGTCGAGTATTAGTACAAGACACTGAAGAAGTCTGCACATTGTAGAAGAAATACGCGTATCTGTCAAGGATAAGCAAATAAAGTAGTGGAATTAAATGGAAAATACTAATCCCTCTCTCTCTCTCATTGTATAAAAAATGGTTTTCAGTGCATAATTTCCAGGGTTGTTACAACAGGCTTAGATTTCGCGATTTTCGTGGATTTGAACTTTCAGTCGCAAAAATTGTGAAGGAACTGATGTGCTATCACAAAAATTGCGAAATTCATTTTAACCTTTGCCTCCTAAGGATTATTTTGCTGTCATAGTTTTCTCAATTTTTTACCGAAACACCCTGCAAATACTCGGAAAATTATCACAGTTCCATAACTCACTCCGGATTTACACGGAAATTCCTTGGGGTCTGTCCAATGTGAAACACTTGCATGATTTTTTTTTTTAATTTCCAATATGAACGTAGCATTTTTCGTTGTCAAATTATAAACGAATCGTATATATGCGACTGATTGCCACACACTGATGGGCTTAGTCTTAAACGTCAAAACTTTTTTGAGGTTGCAACCTGGCTGTCAAATAGAAACAATCGTCGCCTACCTCGCATAACTGGTTCCGCAAACAAGCCATAAAAAAACCAACATGGTTTGTTTACGTTTGTAACCAATTTCATACAAGAATGATCACTAGGCTGATTTGACTGCATGTCTCATCCCAGGTTGCAACACACCTGATACTATCCAGAGAATTGGGTCAAAGTTCAACGAAATCGGGAAAGAAGCTGACTGGCTTTGAACATCTAGTTGCATCATGCTTATAGCGAAAGGTGTAATCCTTATAAGACACGTCAGACAACTGAAAAAAAAAAAAAAAACAAAAATCCTTCAACTCACCATTTCGAAGTAACACCCCGTCGCCTTACAGATACTTCCGGTAGTTCCGCAGATCCGCACTGCCTCCGTAGCCGGCCCCGTTCTCGCCATTCTCGTTCAAATCCACCGCGGCGGCCACCGACTCGAACGATGGTGGTTCCACCAGGTTATCGTTCAGACTGTTCTCCAGTTCCTTCTCGATCGACGAAACCGTATCCTTGGCGTTGCGCTTCCTACCTCGCTTCCCGGCACTGCCGCCGGGCGGTCGTCCCTTCCGCGATGAACCTCCCGGCGATGCCACCGCATCGTAATCTCCCGCAGCAGCTGCCGCTGCCTGACTAGCCTTGGACTTCCTGCCTCCCCCGCTAGTCGATCGTCTGCTCTTCTTGGTCTTACGTTTGTATCCATTCACGTTGTAGTCGTAATCAGAGTCGCCGCCTTCCGCATCGTCCAGGTCGTCATCGTTCAGGGCCATCTCGTCGTAGTACCAATCCTTAGGCAGGGGTTCCTCCTTTACCACCGTTTGGTTCTGGTGACTGTCCTTGCTGTCTGCATCCATAGTCGCACCCAGCGAGGATTCCTCCAGTAGCGATGGGTTGAACTCTGGCTCGGGTGGCACCACCAATTCTGGTATATCTCCCATCACTATGCTGGAGGGTCCACTTGTTTTAAAGTTGCTAAACGGTCGCAGGTTCTGCAGTTTGTTTAGATACTGCCGCTTGGATTTCCGCCATCGTGACGAAGGGTATGTGTACAGCTGACCTTCTCGGTGACCGGGCATCCGTCGACAGTGCTTCATGTACAGAGTACTGTGATTCTGCGCTACTCCTGTTTGCGAATCGAAGAACGGTAATCGCATCCTCCGCTCCAGACAGAGCCTGGTATTAAACGATGCACTGACTTCTAGCGTTTCCCGATAGGTCGAATCCCGCATATAATTTTCAATCTTCTGCAGATTTGGCATCGACACAATCTGGATGTCCAGTCCGCCCGCCGAGGCCATCCTGATTTGTTCTTCTCACCCACTAAATGTCACTGTATTCCTTGGCACTGTTCGTTTTTGCACCGCACTATTCTCCTTCTAATCCTTTGCTGCTTTCACTCACTTGAACAATCGCAATCAATCGCGATGGAATTCTTTGATTTTGCCTACGTTTTGCGTTGAAGTGATTATCTCAATGACGGCAATGGCCACTGCGATATAGGTTTCTATTTTTCAACTTTTTTCCCCCTGAGCTGGCCTGCTTTGATTCGTTTTGCTCTCGCTCTCTCGCGTTAGATAGATTCAGTCGCGGTCCAGCACTAGTAACATCATCACCAACCAACAGCAGTGTGTTGCATTCAAGACGAGATGAGCTGCGAAGGAGGATGATGATGCAGCGAGAGTGAGAGTGCGGAGTAGGCAGCCAGCAGCGTATTATAGCCCAGCGGTGGCAGCCAGCAGTCCGAGTACCGTTCAAAACATAGAGGTACAAACTTTTTTCTCACTCCGACTGCGTTTGCTGGTGTTTGTGTGCGGAAAAAAAGGAGCACCAAAAAAAAAAAATTACCGAACCGTCGCCACCTTGGATGACAGGGTAGCAGCGGTTCTTGGAGATTGAATTTAGGAACCACTCAACTGCACTCGGGCCGGGACTTGACGTTCGAACGATGCACCATTGCGGCCGGTTTCCGCTACTTCCGGTGTAAGATAAATATTTTTATCGGTTTTCCTACTAGGTCGGTTTCTTTTTCCGGAGACACCAGCCAAATGCCACTGTTACACACTCAGAAAGAATGACGGTTCTCTCTCCCGCAAACTCATTGGGATATTTTCTTTCTACCTATATTTTTGTGTGTATTTGACAGATTTGTTGATAGTGCACTACTGCTGGTGGAGTGAAGGCGATGGGTAGCATGAATCTTTGGTAGAAAGAAAGTGAAGAAAGTGTAGGTAGGGAAGCGGAGAAAGGTCAGCCGAATAGAGCGATAAAGTGGTGCTACCTGTGAGAAAAATATGCAAACTCAAGAACCATGTTGACGCGCTGAAAGTGACGCTTCACAAGAAATTTCAATATGGCGGTTGGAAATTTCGGATCTGCGAATAGCATTACCATTTTGAATTGTCTACTAATTTTATTTTTTCATCGAAACACAAAATGTACATATGGCAGCCCTTCCCGTTCCGTCCATGCTGCTGATTCCGGTTCCCATGGGTTCGTAGTTTTCGATTCCCAGTTCCACAGTTCGCAAAAGAGCCGCTCCCGGGGCACTACACTGGCTGCTGTCATCGCTAGTGCTTCCACATTCACCGAGCTCGTCTGCACCGAAGAAGCCCAGCTGTGATGATTGAGCCATCAGGCAGGGTTGTCGTGTGTTTCCTGAACCGAGAAAAGATAAAAGATGTTAGATTCAGTTTTGGCATGACGGTGCATTGAATCCAACCGGTAATCAGCACTGCAATCAGATGGGAAATGTAGCTTTTGGCCAGTCGCAGGGTTTCAATCTTGGATAGTTTTCGGTTCTTCGGTTCCGTTGGGATCAAAAGCCGCAGATTGCTGAACGCCGAGTTGACGCTGATAGGGATAGTAGAACTTTGTTATTAGCTGACTTTTAATAGATTTTGTTTATTTTTCAGGAACTCAAATGTAATGGTTGTTTAGGTTCTGATAGAAAAATACTATTGGCGAAGACTGCAATTCCCAACGACTGCCCCGAAAAGTTGGTCGGGGGTGGTTTTGAGATTTTGTGCCACGGTACCATCTGAATGTGTGCATGAGTGGCACCGCAAGTTTGGACACCGTGACATCGAAGAAATCTGGTCCGCAGTCAACGAAGGTGCTCGACTTGATTCACACCGACATCTGTGGCCCGATGAAAACCGTAACGTCAGGAGGAGCTCGTTATTTCATGGTGATTGTGCAAAATAATATCTAAGCAGGCCTTGATAACATGACAATTAATAAATTCAGAATATACTGTGCTACCAAACAGATAAGAAGTACTTTTACTGTGTGCATGAATTGGAATCCGAATATACCAAGGTACCACACCTGGCGACGAAGATGGGATATAAACCCATTCAAGTTCAATCATCTTCCTGAGACACTCGCTCGGAGGGAATGGATGAGATGGAAAAGGAAGTTCGAAGTCATCATAGCAGCAAGTGAAGAGAAAAACGCCACAAAGCTCAAGAACATACTCCTGGCGAAGGGAGGTTTAGAATTGCAAGATTTATTCTATTCTATTGATGGAGCAGATGTCGTAGAGGATAAGAAGCAAAGAATCAATCCGTATAAAACAGCAATTGACAAACTCGATCAACACTTTTCACCGAAGCAGCATGATTCTTTCGAACGGAATGAATTCTGCAAATTATCACCAGCAACTGTTCAGGATGGAACAAGCGAAACGTTGTCAAAATTTGTTATGCGATGTTCGGAACAGGCGAAACGATGCGATTTTGGGAAAACGAGTGCAGAGAGTCGAGATTTAAGAATTATAGATAAGGTAATCTATTACGCGCCAACGGAGCTTAGAGAGAAGTTACTGCAAGAAGAGAAACTAACATTGACCCAACTCACACGGATGGTGAACTCATTCGAATCAATTAAACTACAAGCAAGAGCGATTGCGGGAACAGGATCAGGAAACGCGTCGTTTGTCACAGCATCGGAAAACATTGAACGAATCAACAAACTAAATACATCAGCAAGGCAAAACCGTAACACCTGCTACCGTTGTGGATTACAAAATCATCATGCAACCGATCGTGAATGTCCGGCCCGAGGAAGAAAATGCGAAAAGTGTCATAAAATAGGCCATTATGCAAAAGTATGTCGATCAGGATAAATTTTCAAACAACGATACGAGGGACCACATTCACACCATCCAGAGAAAAGAGCCAGGTATGGTAACGTGCGTACTATCGTGGCAGAAGAAAAATTTGATCGAACTGAACCAGAGAGCTTCATTTTTAACATTGGTGATGGCGACGAATTTCTGTGGACAAAGATTGGAGGAGTTTTGGTTCAGGTGTTAATCGATTCAGGCAGTTCAAAGAATATTATCGATGATGCGACCTGGGCCTACATGAAGAAACAAGGTGTGAGAAGCTGGGTTCCACGAGATGTTCCTAATACAACTCTTCGAGGATACGGTCGAGAAGCTAAACCATTGGAAATCGTACACGTGTTTGAAGCCGTCATTTCAGTGGAATCAAGAAGCAGCAAATTTGAAACCATTGCAATATTCTATGTTGTGGTAGGTGGATTGCAGTCGCTACTTGGAAAGGAAACTGCGAAGTGTTTAAGACTGCTGAAAATTGGACTTCCGTATCCTGAGCACTCAATCAACGCTGTGATTCCAGTAACGAAACGGCCATTTCCCAAGATGAAGAATGTTCAAGTAAGGATTCCCGTTAATCAAGATGTCACTCCAATCGTTCAAAGAGTTCGTCGTCCTCCAATTGCATTACTCAGTCGGATTGAAGATAAATTGGATCAGCTTTTGGCAAACGATATTATCGAATTCGTAACGGGACCATCGCCTTGGGTATCACCATTGGTAGCCATTGTGAAGGACAATGGTGATCTACGCCTTGGTGTGGATATGCGGTGACCAAATCAAGCAATCCAGAGAGAGAGCATCATGGGGGTGCCTACGTTTGAAGACTTCTTGCCCCACTTTAAGTTATCTCGATTCTATAGCCGATTAGACATTAAAGATGCTTTTCATCAGGTAAGAACTCTAGAAGAGAAAATAATATTGTAAAGGTAGTCGAATATTTCGGGGGTTACATAATTATAGAAATTATACATGTATAGATACATGTATATATACTCATGAAACTCTATTTGATTTCGACTTCCTCAGATTGAGCTGGAAGAATCGTCCCGATATATAACAACCTTTATTTGCCATAAAGGATTGTTAAGATACAAGCGGCTAATGTTTGGAATTTCCTGTGCTCCAGAGATGCTCCAAAAGATTTTGGAACATATTCTGTCAGACTGTGAGAATGTTGTAAATTACATGGATGACATAATAGTCTCGGGGGACACTGAAGAAGAACACGATGAAGCATTGAGGAAGGTGCTCAGAGTACTAGAGTTCCGGAATGTATTGCTTAACAAGGACAAATGTATTTTTAAAGTAAAGCAAGTTGAGTTCCTTGGTCATCTGATTTCATCGGAAGGAATTAAGCCAACTATTAGTAAGGTTGAAGCGCTTCAAAGATTTCGCGAACCAAAGACTCCAGAAGAAGTAAGAAGTTTCCTGGGTCTTGTAACGTATGTCGGAAAATTCATTCCCGATTTGGCAACAATAACGGAACCTCTAAGACAACTTATCTGCAAAAATAATAGATTCACGTGGGAAAGGAAACATCAAGACAGTTTTGAGCTCCTAAAATTGATGATCGCTGATGTACAAACTCTCTCGTTTTTCAATAACACGTTGAGAACTCGAGTTATTGCGGATGCTTCTCCAGTGGCTCTAGGGGCAGTCCTTGTTCAATTTGAAGGTAGAACTGATGCTGATCCTCGAATTATAAGCTATGCGAGCAAAAGCCTAACCATAACCGAGAAACGTTATTGCCAAACAGAGAAGGAGGCACTAGCGTTGGTATGGGCAGTGGAAAAAAATTCAGTTTATCTGGTTGGGAGAGAATTTGAATTGGAGACAGATCACAAGCCGTTAGAGATCATTTTCTCACCTTCATCCATGCCGTGTGCTCGAATTGAGCGGTGGGTATTAAGGCTCCAATCCTTCAAGTTCACCGTGAAATATCGGGAAGGTTCTGGAAATATTGCTGACTCACTGTTCTTAGTTCTCGCTGTTCAGGAATCAGCGGCGATTGATGTAGGGGAAATTGAAGTTGCTACTAGATTGGACCCTGAACTTAAAGCTGTTAAAGATTGTCTCGTATCAGGAAACTGGAATAACCAATTAGTGAAGCCATTTGAACCATTCCGAAATGAGCTGGATTTTAATTTGTAACGATTTAAGTATTAATGTTGATTAAATAGATTAAAACTTGGTCTCAGTTTATATAAAAAAGAAGATGTGCTACATAATATCTAAGCAGGCCTTGATAACATGACAATTAATAAATTCAAAATATACTGTGCTACCGAACAGATAACAAGTACTTTTACTGTGTGCATGAATTGGAATCCGAATATACCAAGGTACCACAGTGATGATAGACGATTACAGTCGATTCACTGAGATTTTCATCTTGAAGCACAAGTTCGAAGCCGCCGAAAAGATCGAAGCTTACGTAGAAATGGTACATGCACGTTTCGGCAGGTATCAACCGCTATCAGGTCCGACCAAAGAGGGGGGTATACATTCAAACACCTCTATCGTTCGAAAGGAATTGCGTCCCAGATCACCACAAGGCATATCGTTTCATCGATACAACGAATAACAAGGGTGTGTATAGCAGAGACGTACGTTTTCTGGAGGGCGAGAAAGCACACAAGCACTCGAACAAGCCAATCGATGTTATCGAGATCGAGTCACCGTTTCAGCATGATATCCAACCGGAACTCGAGCAAGACGATGACGAACAGGATGACGTTTGCGATACGAACTTGGAATACGAATTCGGTGAAGAATCATTGGGTGAATCTTCAGTTGAGCAAGTCACTCCGGCACGCAGATCTGAACGCACCACGAAAGGAGTACCACCTCCTAGGTACCGGGAGTTGCCATCTTGAATTCCTAAATGCTCGGTCATCAAATTCCGGCCACATCATTTGTCCTCATTCCGAAAATATGCATATTGCAAGGTATTTGAACGTTAACCGCAGGCATGGAAAATCGGTCATAAACGATTACCGGCATAATCTTGGTTTCCTCACCGGCCATTACGTCTCCATTTTGAAAATATGCATATTGTAAGACATTTGAGGGTTTTTGCGAAAAGTGGTGTTCAGAAAATCATTATCAAATGTCATTCGGTGAGCCCTCCGAATGGAATAAACTCACGTGTCAGTCTGCAAAGCAAATCTGGCGTATAAGATTCTCATGCATTTTCACACACTCACATTCACAATGGCAAAAAAAAAACCATTCCTGCTTAAAACTTATAGCGAATTCGTTTATTATTCAGTTCCAACCTGGATCGGGTATCAAGATTGGGTCTACTTGTTTTCTGACAAACGTCAGTTTGCTCGTTTGTTTTTAGAAACCTAGCTCAGGTTGAGGTTCGCACTGACAAAAAGTTCGGTTTCGCCAAGTCCCCGGCAAGATGACAGATAACCTTAGTTTCACGTAGAAATACTCAGAGGGAGAGATAGGTGGAGAAAACAAAATACAATTCGACAGCAGGGATTTGTACCTAAATTATCTTGCAACCATTGCTAGAGGCCAGCATTTCACATGACTTTTATTTTTGATTCGATCTACGTGCAAAATGATAATTGATTGCATCGCAATATTTTGCACATTTCTTGGTGCCATTAATTAATCAAATAAGATTAATTAATCAATAGAGTTAGAATATTGTTTTTGGTTCCAAAAACTAGTTGAATTTGAGAAGTACACGAAACATAAAGGTGATTGAATT